GAGCATTTGCTCTTTTCAACCCTCAAATTCCTCGCTTCCATAGGACATAATTGTCGAGCGTTTCATATGGCAAATGTTCAAAGAAGTGAATGGTTGTTGCAGTTGAAATTGCCACCAACAGCCATGCATATTAGTGCCTTTGAAGCGTTTATGTCACTAAACCGAATGTTGCTCTGTCGGGCGGTTGATGGTTCTGCTGCCACGCCGCGCCATGCTTGAACCCTCTTGCAAGTGGGTGTAGATGCTTCCAGAGAGCTTCAATTTTATTTCTCCCGCCAGGATAATCCTCTTCCTCTACTACACGCTGCTGTTATCATTCATGCTGTTTTTCGTGGAAAAAAAACTAAAAATCTTCCTATAAATTGAGCGCAAAACATGGGATAGTTGTTGCCTCCGCTGCTATTTCCTTCTTTCAGAGAGTTCTGCGGCTTGCTGTTCCTCCCTTATTTCTTGCCGGTAGCATGGTTTTTCTCTACTACCTCATCGACCAACTCAATCCCACATCGAAGGAGAAGAAGGCTGCAAGGAAAAAGGTGGGTCGACGTTTTTCATTTTCCCTTCTCGATTCACTTTTGCACTTATTTGTTCGACTTAAATTGGCCGGTTTTCGGGCCTTCTCTGCCCTTTTAGTTGTACGCTACTAGTTATGACTTCTCCCTCTATCTCCACATTTCTCTTATTTTCGATCAGCTTTGGGACCAAAATTAAATCGTTGGACAAGTTGAATGTTGTCCAGTTTCTACTGGCCTGTGTATTTACTGGTACAAATTAAGTAGCACGAACCTTTCGATCATCACTTCGAAGATAATTACATGTGTGGGTATGGAGGTTGTAAAACGCTATCTCATTGCACCAGTTTGTCAAGCAGTTTTCTGTTTCTACAATTTCCAGCTGCCGACCATGCTACTAGTAGACGCCAAATGGCAGCCTCTCTCCTCACATGCCTACTTAGCGCAAATTTCTCGAATAATTTACTCCCGTGGTGTATCTTAAACCGATCTTCCTTGTTTTGTGGAGCAGAGGATCTTCTTATCCCTCGTTTAAAAGTTTCACGGTAGGTATGCCTGCGGAGTAACCATTTGTGCAAATGTAATTTGCAAACCATCGAGTTGTGGTTGTTTGATAAGAACTTTCTCATGCAAACAATGAGTCCCACCTCGTTGTTTACTTGCATATCCTTGACTATCCAGTCTACACTCAATAATGCCATAATAAATGGAAGTGTGGCAAACCAGCTTTTGATAATTCATTAGATGAAGAAGTAGACTTTCGCTTTTGTGCATCATTAGCATTTTTGCCGTCTCCTCGGAATTAATTAGAACTGACTCCCTATGCTAGTATTATCGTAATCTCTTCGTACCTGAGAATATATTTTATCTCCTCAGGCGGTGAGACAGTTCTATTTTGGGGCATGCACGTTATCGTGGGGAGTTGCAACAGTGCGCCAAGCGAATTGCTTGTTCTATCAGCCTGTCCTCTTAGGCGCTAACTTAACTTGGGCTGGACAACCGCAAAACCCACCCGCCACTCAGCTCTATTTCATTTTTCATTGTACTTCCATCGTGAGAGCATTTAGCCTGGTCGGAACTGTGTTTGCTTCATCGCTAAATCGTTCTTAATCGCTCGAAAGCTTTTGAATGGATTCATTTGACCTCTCCTTACTACTACTTTTGCCCGGCTTCGATAACAGACGCCCTTCTGCTGCAATCAATTGTATACTTCATAGGAGCAAGGATAGTGACGAGTTGCATCGTCAACTCCTTGAATGCAGCTCTTCTCTGCGGCTGAACGCCGGCAGCTTAACCCGTCTTCCTCACCTCACTTTTGATCCTGCTGAAGGGTGTGACCGTGCATACCTAACTTTAATTACACCGGCTTCAACCTTAACCCTCCATTCTTTTTTTACGACGGAGATCATCTTTCAGTGAATTTAATATTCCTCACCCCTATCGACCTACCTAGGAGTTGTTATAGGTGCGGTCACTAGTCCACCACACCCTTCTTCCACTGGACACTTCTCCTCCACATTTGTTTTTAGACATATGCATGGCCAAATCGGTTGCGTGCTTTGCATATGCAATCCTTATTTAAAGTTTGCCCGAACGACTATCACTACCGGTCAACAGTGCCCTAAAAAGTTCGCTCAATGCATCCATGTTTTGTCAAACTTTTGAAACAACTGAATGCAGAGACATGCATTTGAATAATGTAGCGAAATATTTCTTCGAAGAACCATACAGCAACTGCTTTTTTTTCTTGGGAGGGCGTTTGCAACTTGAAGAAGGCTATTGGCTCATTCTATACCCCATTCATAAAGTAGCAATTTTTACTGGACCAGAGATGTTCCATCATCCCTCCCTCCCACCTTCCTTTCCTCTTTTTTACTCCCGAAAAACCTTTTTGATGAGTGAAAATTTGATGTGGATTCGGTGATCTTTGTCAACTGAGTCCTATGAAGTTGGTCTCTTGAGGGGTGGACTACCGGCTTTGAGTGTGGTGCAAAGTGTGTGCCACATTTGGCATCCTTTAACTACTTATTAATGTGTATGTGTGTGTGTGTGTGTTTCGAAATGAATGTGACCTGCTCCACTTCTGACCCCAAAAGTAAGGCAGTTATTGTCAATTATGCATCGAACTTAATTGACACTTCAACTCTCTTTCGTTTGTACCGGTTTGCCATTTTGTAGTGTCCAACCAGCATTGAAGTCGACTTGAGTCTACTGGCAGAAATCGGTGTTTGCCGTAGTTGAAATGATCCAATCTTCATACTTTTGTCTTTCATCAGAATTGTTTCATAAACATTTCACAGAAGTCCGTCCCCACGACTATGGCGTATACGTGGACCATGTAAATTTTGGCTCCGCTTTTGCCTGCTTCATTGTGTCAGGTGACCAAAGGCCTTGGCGCAGTTTTCGGTACAACTCAGTGCAAGACCCATGAGATTGATCACACGCACGCCCTTTTGCTACCACAACTACAGCAAAGGCCGTAGAGATGCGTGTCAGTGTGATGAATGTGGTCGTATTCTTTAACACACTGTCCTCCCATTTGGAAGTCTGATAGGTTGCATCGTTTTCACCCTCTCTGTTCAGCTGGTCGAGTCAGTCGACTTAGTTGACGTGGCACTTTGTCCCGTCTCCGATTAGTTGTTTGGATGACGTTTGGAGAGGGCGTGGTGTGTTTGGTGATGAAGCACCGTACCGCCTAGTAATTTTGCTAGCAATTTGACTCCCTTGGTGAATCACTACTCAAGTATAGATGTGTCACATCGGGGAGGAGGAATCTCTCTCATTTCGATCTGAAGGAACAAGATGTTTTGTATGGTTAGTGATCTGCATTGTGGTTGACAGTGGAATGTGCCTCATTTGGGTATTCAGGTCGGGGTCAAAGGGCTAATAAATGACGCTTTTTTCCCTTTCCCGAGTGGTTTAGTCATGTACCTCACCTCTTGGCTTCGCCTTTGTGTTGGAAAATTAATTTTTGCTTGAATTACTGAGTCCTAA